GCGACACCGTCGCATACAATTTTTTTCCCGTTAAACACAAAATTATATGCGACGGTGTCGCATTTTAACATGTCGTGGGACACCGGCTAGATTACCTACACGTATCCACTTCAAGAAATCTGAACCCTCGTCGTAATAGCTGGGCCCACAGAGATGAAGCTAATCCCACCGTTCCACAGTGCTAAGAGCTGGTGTCGCACGACGTGCTAAAATGCGACACCGTCGCATACAAATTTTTCCGTTAAGGAACCAAATAATATGCGGCGGTGTCGCATTTTAACACGCCGTGCGACACCGGCTAGATTACCTACACGGATCCACTTCAAGAAATCTAAACCCTTGTCATAATAGCCGGGCCCACAGAGATGAAGCTAATCCCACCGTTCCACGTTGCTGAGAGCCGATGTCGCACGGCGTGCTAAAATGCAACACCACGGAAAAAATTGTATGCGACGGTGTCGCATTTTAACATGCCATGCGACACCGGCTAGATTACCTACACGTATCCACTTCAAGAAATCTGAACCCTCGTCGTAATAGCCGGATCCACAAAGATGAAGCTAATCCCACCGTTCCGCAGTGCTGAGAGCTGGTGTCGCACCGACGTGCTAAAATGCGACGCCGTCGCATACAATTGTTTTCCGTTAAGGAATAAAATTATATGCGACAGTGTCGTATTTTAACACGCCGTGCCACATGCCATTCAGCAATTCCAGAATAGAGCTGGTGGAGCAGAAATAGAAAAACTGGGGCAGTGGAGGAGAGCCGAACCAAAGACAGGCCAAATAGGCAAATAGCCAAAGCCAAAGCAGTGCAGTGCGCAGCCCATCATTTCTTCCTTCCATGTCACAGGGGGAAAAAAAGCGGCAAGAATCCAAAGCACACATTCCCATCACACCACACCAGTACACCGCTCCATGGCAGGCATGCACCGCTTCCCATGCCCCGCCTCTCTCCTCCTTTCCCTGCAGTCGCAGTCACAGCTGTGACGTGTCCAGTTCAGTCGCTTCAGCGTTCACAAGCGCGTTCACCCTCCTGCAGTCCTCCCACCTCGCAAGCTTGCTCACTTCTGTGTAGTAATCCTCAGCAACCTCGTGGGGACTGGGGACATCGTTGCCGTTCCCGGGCTCGGCAGCCGCCGCAATGCTGGCGCAGGTGCTGCTCGTGCACCTGCTCCTCCTCGCCGCCACGTCCTCGGCCGACCATCACCGCCATTACTGGGGCAGAAGGGCGCTGCACGAGCCGCTGTTCCCTCTGGAGAGCACGCCCGCGCTGCCGCCGCCACCGCCCGCGCCGTTCTTCCCGTTCTTGCCAGGCGCCGCGGCGCCGCCGACGGTGACGCCGGAGGCTGGCTCCGCCTCCACCCCGGCGGACACCGGCGCGGGTGACGCGTCGTCCTCCTCCTCGTCGCCGCACCCCACGGCGCCGGCCAACATTTCGTCCTTGGCCGCGCTTCCCGTCTCCTCCCACACCGCGCCGCTGCGGTCCTTCCTCTCCTCCCACCGCCTCCTCACCGTCCTCGTCCTGGTCGTCGCCGTTGCTGCGGCCGTGCTCACCGCCGCGCTCGTTTACATCCTCGCCCGCCGCCAACGTCGTCACACTCCCAAGGAGGAACCTGCAGTGTACACAAAGCCCTCCTCGCTTGTACCGGTCAACCCTGTACTCTACGATGGTGGCGACCAGCATGGCCGTGGCTCGACGGCCACCGTCTCCAGCACCAGCTCGCCGGAGCTCAGACCGATGCCGCCTTTGCCACGGCAGTTCCAGCAGACGCGGATGAACTTGCCGTCATGCTCAAAATCCGTTCTTGACGCCGGAACAGGAGGTAAACGAGCATCAGAGGGTGCTCCTCCTCCTCCTCCGCCTCCTCCACCGCCGCCTCCAATGCCACGGGTGAAAGACAAGTGCGACGCCACAGCAGCAGCAGCCCCTCCGGCGCCGCCACCTCCTCTGCCGCGAGCCGGCAACGGAAGCGGCTGGTTGCCCCGGCGGCACTCCGAGCGCCCAGCGACCACGGTGATCAGGGCCTCGGCGAGCGCAGTTCACCCAGAAGAGTCTCCAGGGCGCACGCCGCCAGAGAAACAAGCGGAAGCGGACGCGGACGCGGCTGCTCTGCCGAAGCTGAAGCCGTTGCACTGGGATAAGGTGCGCGCGAGCTCTGGCCGACCGACGGTGTGGGATCAGCTGAAGGCGAGCTCTTTCCGGTGAGGCCGTGTCCGTTCTTGTGTATTGGCATTGCTTGCACTCGACTAGAGTTACTGCCATGATAACTTAACGTGCTTCCATTGTTTACTCTTTCAAACTCTTTCTGCATGCGAATAGAGTGAACGAAGAGATGATTGAGACATTATTCGTCTCAAATTCGACATGGAGATCGTCCAAGAGTGGAACCAAGGGGCCAAATTCCAGTTTGTGCAGCCAGGAGAACAAGGTCCTCGACCCGAAGAAATCACAAAACATTGCGATAATGCTAAGGGCGCTCAATGCGACCAAGGAAGAAGTGTGCAAGGCACTCTTAGATGGTGAGTACACTGAGATGAGATAGTCCTAATACATCTATCATTCTGTAAACAAGCATCCACAGAACTTTTCAAGCATCCACAGAACTTTTCCTCTGAAACATTGAGCTTCACGAACATTTGCTTGTACTACCATTATCGGAAGCAGGGCAGGCAGAAAGCCTTGGAACTGAGCTCTTGGAGATGCTGCTGAAGATGGCGCCTAGCAGGGAAGAGGAGATCAAGTTGAAAGAATACAGGGAGGATGCTGTGTCTAAGCTTGGCCCTGCTGAGAGCTTCCTCAAGGCGGTGCTCGCGATTCCATTCGCTTTCAAGAGGGTGGAAGCGATGCTGTACATCACCAACTTCGATTTAGAGGTCGACTACCTCAAGACCTCCTACAAAACTCTTGAGGTAGTAATCTTTACGACTTCACCAGCATAGTTCCATTGAGAGACTTGAATGAATAAGAATACAGAAATGAGGTGTGCCATAACAATGGTTCTAAATCAGATTTTAGGACTGCTGTTCATTTATGTGATGCATTCTTTCAGATCATTTTGCTTCCCTACACTCTATCTCCATATAGCCGTGGCAGTATGTTTGTCCTGATGGGTAAATGAACGACTTGGGGACAGATTGACAGTTCTATGAGCAACCAATCAGCGTTTCAGAATTCTCTATTACTTAGGAATTTATCACCGAAGTCTAAATCTCATTTGCATAAGACAAGAAATGCCAAATGCCTGATCAAAATTCATCTCGTTATCCTGTTTATTTGAAAATAAAGTAGCACAGACAAATTGCTGACATTTGTTGTCATTTCAGGCAGCATGCGAAGAGCTGCAGGGCAGCAGGTTGTTCCACAAGATATTAGACGCAGTCCTGAAGACTGGTAACCGCATGAACACCGGCACGAACCGTGGAAACGCCCATGCCTTCAAGCTGGACGCACTCCTCAAGTTAGTCGATGTAAAGGGTGCAGATGGCAAGACGACTCTCCTACACTTCGTCATCGAAGAAATCATCAAGTCTGAAGGAGCTAACATTTTAGCCACCGGCCAAACATCTGACCAAGCGAGTGCCCTTGCAGATGATCTGCAATGCAAGAAGGTAGGCCTGAAAATCGTTGCAAGCCTTGGCGGTGAGCTCAACAGTGTCAAGAAGGCGGCAGCAATGGACTCCGACGTGCTGGCCAGCTGCGTCTCCAAACTCTCCTCCGGCGTCAGCAAGATCAGCGAGGTCCTGCACTTGAACCAGCAGCTTCTCGGTTCCGAAGACAGCTGCAAGAGGTTCCGCGCCTCCATTGGCGAGTTCCTGCGAAAGGCTGAGGCCGAGATCGCCCGGGTGCAGGCTCAGGAGGGCCGCGCCCTCGCCCTCGTCAGGGAGACGACCGAGTTCTTCCATGGCGACTCGGCCAAAGAGGAAGGCCACCCGCTGAGGATCTTCATGGTGGTTCGCGACTTCCTCACGGCCCTTGATCACGTCTGCAAGGACGTTGTGAAGATGAACGAGCGGGCAGCGGCCGGTGGGTCGTCGCGGCGGGTGGGGAACATGCACGTTCCTCCGGTGTTTAACGCGGTGCGATCCACCAGCTCGTCGGAGGAGAGCTCGTCGCCCTAGCGGTTGGGATGCAGCACTGATTGTCTGAGCAGGAATCTGCATCTTGTTGTCTAGAAGAACAGCAGTGCAGGCTCCTACGTAGTAGGACCATGATATACTACTAAATATTTTGTACCTGGAGGAGATAGTTTGTAAAGTAAAACCTATGATTCAGCGTGATGAACATCGTCCTGCCAATGGCCTACCAAAGGTGAAAGTGGCATTGTACATGATTCTGCATGCTGAGCGCTACTGTTGGATGGGAGCTTTTGAGCAACTGATGATCTAGCTCAATCTCATGCTAAATAGTAGATAGTACTATCTTGTCGTTAGCTCTTGATAAAAGCATTGGACAAGTTTAATCTGTTTTGAGGGTCCTGTTCTGACGGAATTCTCACTATAACCACCCTCTGCTTTTCACATACTAGTTTTATTTTACTTTATACTTCCTGAGCAACTAAATAAGCTTTTACAGCATGCTGAAATGAACGCACTTGCTGAATTGACTACAAAAGATGCATAAAGCGAATTGATCATCGCAACGTGCTACACCGACGACCGTTTGGCAAAGCGATGATGCAAAAGGCAATTGAAAAAAAGGGACACGTGGGAACGGCCATTGTACCGTTTCAAGAGCAAATAAAAATAAATTAATAGCACGAAGATGGTGCTTTCTCTAAAGAACATTTTGAGTCTCGAGGAGTATGTTATTATACGCAACATGCGGTCTGTATAAAAAAAACACAAATAGTACCATGGAGCTACAGCTATGCCGTCTATTGCCGGCGTGTTACTTATCTGCTGATAGCTGCTGTTCAAATCGTCGCTAAATTCACCGTTAGCTGGTACGTGGTATATATCAAGTAAAGTACGTCCGAAACAAGTGGATCTGCGGAAGGATTAGTTACATAAACCCTCTGCCTCCATGCGCTCCAATATCCGCCGCGCCTCTTCTTCCGTTGAGGGAACAACATTGCGAATCTTCAACCCGTTCTTCAACATGCCACCACAGACCGTGAAGGTGAAATGAAACGTGTTGGAAACCTGTTCGTTGGACAACATGGTCAGCAAATCATCTAAGCATTCAAGAAAAAGGATTTCAGGGTGGAGCTTATGCAAGGCAAGTAGCATCCGTGGTAAACTAAGTGGGATTCTGGGATTACCTCACTTTTCCGGAGCTCAGGTCTTGTTACATGAGCGACAACTTCAACGTTGACCAGGGGCTGCTCTGGATTGTCAAGCTGGGTATACAAGACACATGATTTGAATCGAAGGAAGTCCCCTACATCCACCTGTGCAAGCACAGCGACATGTTTATACCTATTGCTGATAGAAAATGAATTTGTAGTTTCAGAAAATATATAACATGTTCATTTGTGGACACTACCAATTTACATAGGAAAATATGGCCCAATATTTCAATACCAGTTACATTTGCGTTGTTCATATTGCTGAAAAGAATATGCTATTCACTTACTGGTTTCAAGAAGTCAACATGATCGACTTCAAGGAAACAAGGTCTCTGCCCAACAAAAGCATATGCGGTTGAGAAGGCAAGCTCAAATGCTCGGTGCATCAAGAAACCCCCAAATATTCGACCATGCAAGTTTCGTTGCTGTGGCTGGCAGACAAGAGAGTTCTCCAGACGGGTATCCTTCAGCAAGATGCTATCTCTATCAGCTAAAGCAGGCAGATCAGAGAAAACACGACCCTCTGCGAGCAACACATCCAGCCTCTCAGCCTCAGCACGGAGCTTATGTATCCCATTTTCAAGTCCTCCCTTCTGTTCTTCTCTCTTCCTTTTTCTCATCTTATCACGTGCTTCTCTTTCTCCAAATAGTTGCTTCTCCCTTTCAGTTTCAGGTGAAAGGCGGTTCACTGGAGCAGATTTTCCAGTCTTGGAATCACGCGCAACAAAGGTGAAGTTAGCGGTCAATGCAATGGGATCAGACTGATTATCACCATCTGTTGCAACATAACCACATTTGAGACAAGTCAGTTAAAGAAAAGCAGAAAACAAAATCTACCATATGCATCACTTGGTTCAAATCAATTAAGAGCTAGATCAACATTCAACTGAACCAGTAATACCTTTATCAACCTGAGTCACTTCAATCTGTATGTCAATTGATGAGCGCCCAACATAAGTAACAGCTCCAGCTATGTTCAAATCAGTGTCCACACGAATTGGCTTTTTCAGCTCCATTTTGTCAACAGAAGCAGTCACAACCAAAAGGGGTCTTGTTGTGCTATCTTCATCTGAACAGTGCTGCATGTAAATCAAGTTGTCAAGAAAATCCGAGCAGGATGCCAAAAGATACTATCATACTACCCAGGAGCATAAGAATCGGGAAGCAAAGAGAAGACAAAATCGCACGTCTATCACCCATTGGCATCGCCAAAAATACAGGTCTGTAACAAAGGGTAATACAAAACTTAACCACTCAGTGAGCTAGTCAATGGAATGGTAAGACCAATGTAGCATCTGCTTCCACTACCACACTGGCGCCATTAATTCAACACCACAACTCTCATACCGACAAAGAAATGTTTTATGGTACTAAAGAGCAAAGACCACATTGACAGCCTCACAGGATTCAGATTTCACAATTTCAGTAGCCCATAACTAAACAGTTTGCAAGATTCATTACAATAAATTTCATTATACCAATATTTCTTCATGAGAACAAAGCAACAAGCTCCCAAAAAATATAGCGGCAACTTATAGAGGCCGTTTAAACAATCTGGTGCTATTGCTCAGTCAATAAGTGTAACGCTTCAATGAACCTGCTTCACTTATGTTGTTGAGGGAGTCAGGGAGACAGTTCCATCATTTTACTAGTGTCTTATGTCAGTACGAATTGTTCTGGTCTGATGCCAGAAACCATAAACCATTATCGTCTCAACTCAACTGAACCAGCCCCAGAAAGGAAATTGTTAAACTGCGGAGTGTCTAGACTCTACATTTTAAGATTTTCATAGGTGCATCTACTTCAAAATTGTGATTCTGTTAGCAATTCAAAATCATGAAATTGGCACACGTGCTCCCTAGCATACACTATGGGTTTAATTTAACAAATTAAGGCATGGGGCCAGGTGGTGGGCACCAATTCATCCGCTGATGATGTCAAGTCAAAGATGACCAAATCATAAGCAAACACCGGGAATAACTAACGCCTTGTTTAGTTGGACCCCAAAGTCCAAAAAGTTGCTACAGTACCTATCACATCGAATGTTTGCGGCCCGTGCATGGAGCATTAAATGTAGACGAAAATAAAAACTAATTACACAGTTTAGTGGGAAATTGCGAGACGAACGTTTTGAGCCTAATTAGTCCATGTTTGAACACTATTTGCCAAATAAAAACGAACGTGCTACAATAGCCCCAAAATCCAAATTCACCCAACTAAACAAGGGCTAAAACTCTGATGAATACTTGCAGCAGACGTACACTTCTCTCTCTCTTACGGTCTTACCGATCACACGTGCTACTAGGAGACACGCAACGCAAGAAAGAAGGTCGCAATGAGTACCGCACTAGGCGTTACCTTGACGGCGATGGTGCCGGCGAGGGCGTCAAGATCCTCGAGCAGCTTGCCGATGCGCACCTCGTTCCAGGGGTCCCGGTACTGCTCCCGGAGGATGTCGTCGGTGGCGAACTTGTACACGATGCTGGTCCGGCTCTGCGCGGGCGTCTTGACGAGCAGCTCCGTCTGCGGCCGCTGCTCGGCGGAGGAGGTGGCGCCGCCGTTCCCCGCGTCCATCATCCGCTCGAAGATGCTGGACCGCGCCTCCCAGAGCGCGTTGCCATTTGTAGTCGCGATCGCGCTCAGTCGCTGACACGCACCGGGCCAAGCTGCGCACTAGTATATCTAGTCATCTAGATCAATCTTTCTACACGGCAGTGCTACAGTGCCACACAATCGTTTCCTAAACGCAAGTAGACACTAGGGTCACTAGATAGCTAGCCAAGACACGGGCATGGGTTCCTACGACGGCGAGAACGAGCCGAAAGCCGCCGCCGCCGCCGCCGGCGGCGGCGGCGGCGGAAGCCACGTGCTCCTCCTGCCGTACCCGAGCCAGGGCCACGTCCACCCGATGCTCCAGTTCGGCAAGCGCCTGGCGTACCACGGCCTGCGGCCCACGCTGGCCGTCACCCGCTTCATCCTCACCACCTGCGCGCCCGACGCCGCCGCGCTGCAGGGCCTGGGCGGCGCCGGCGCGGTCGGCCTCGCGGCGGTCTCGGACGGCTTCGACCGCGGCGGCTTCGGCGAGTGCGGAGACGTGAATGCGTACCTGTCCCAGCTCGAGGCGGCCGGGTCGGAGACGCTGGGCGAGCTCCTCCGGGACGAGGCCGCGCGGGGCCGGCCCGTCCGGGCCGTGGTCTACGACGCGTTCCTGCCGTGGGCGCAGGGCGTGGCGCGGCGGCACGGCGCCAGCGCCGCGGCCTTCTTCACGCAGCCGTGCGCCGTCAACGTGGCGTACGGCCACGTGTGGTCCCGCCGGCTGCGCATGCCGGTGGATGGTGGGGCGGTCCTCCGGCTCCCTGGTCTGCCGGCGCTCGAGCCGGATGACCTGCCGTGGTTCCTCAAGGTCGGGACAGGCCCGTACCCGGCCTACTTCCAGCTGGTCATCCGCCAGTTCCAGGGGCTGGAGCAAGCCGACGACGTGCTTGTCAACTCGTTCTACGAGCTTGAGCCCGAGGTGAGCTGCGTGCGCGCTTGTTTGTCCCTGTCGCTGCCATGCATACTAGCTACATGAGTTCATGTGCAGCCGTAGATGCATGCACCATGCTCGCCCACCGCGTCCGCTCGCCCGCGCTGCGCGTTCGCGTGCTGGTGTGTGCTCGCCCGATGGCCGCCGCGCTCGCTCGCTCGCGTGCTGGTGCTGGTTCGCCGCTACCACGTGCGCTCGCCGTGTGCGCGCCGGTGAGAAAGAGAGAGGGAGAGAGATAAAAAAAATCCATATGCTTTTTTTATGCTAAAACATATGTGTATTGTATAGTTTTTCTGTATTGTTTTAAGTTGTATCTTTCTTTTTTTTCCCTCAACTTCCACACACCACGCATTTGCACCTTATCGTGAGAATCATGCGAATCGATGCTCACTAGTGTGTACTCGATGCAATGCAACCATATCCTAGCGAATACCCGGCTCTCGAACAGATGTGTCAAGTTGGTCCCCCGCCTTAGTCCTGAGTCCTGACAGCTATGTCGGGAAAATATCTTGGCCGAGCTGGGCCAGCCATGTCGATCGACGACGTTGGCATTTGCACTAACGCAGCAGCGTACATGGCGTCCACTTGCAGGAGGCGGAGTACATGGCGTCGGCGTGGCGCGCCAAGACGATCGGGCCGACGGTGCCGGCGTCCTACATCGGCGACGACCGCCTCCCGACGGACACCAAGTACGGGCTGCACCTCTACGAGCTGACCGCCGCGCCGTGCATCGCCTGGCTGGACACGCACCCGCCGCGCTCCGTGGTGTACGCCTCCTTCGGCAGCCTGTCCGACCTCGACCCGCTAGAGATGCGGGAGATCGCTCACGGCCTCCTCGACGCCGGCCGGCCGTTCCTCTGGGTCGTCCGCGCGTCCGAGACCCACAAGCTGCCCGCGGGCTTCCCCGAGCAGCAGCGCGGGCTGGTGGTGTCGTGGTGCCCGCAGCTGGAGGTGCTGGCGCACCGCGCCGTGGGGTGCTTCCTGACCCACTGCGGCTGGAACTCCACCGTGGAGGCGCTGGTGGCGGGCGTGCCCATGGTGGCCGTGCCGCAGTGGACGGACCAGCCCATGAACGCCTGGTACGTGGAGGCCGTGTGGCGGGTGGGCGTGCGGGCGCGCGCGGCCACGCCCGACGGCCTCGTGCGGAGGGGCGAGGTGGTCAGGGGCATCGAGGAGGTGATGGACGGCGAGAGGAGTGCCGAGTACAGGAGCAACGCCGACGTGTGGATGGAGAAGGCCAGGGCGGCGAGCAGGGAAGGCGGCAGCTCCGACAGGAACATCGCCGAGTTCGTGGCCAAGTACGCCTCGGACGCCAAGTGATGAGAGAAACAAAGACGCTCGAACCATGCATTATTCCAAGGCGCCTTTTGCTACACAGGGTTGTACCAAAACACATCTGATCTAGTGTCAAAACACACACACACACACATCTGATCTAACTAACCTTACCTACAACTCTGCATTTCAAAACCTGCAATGTAACGATGTAAACATCACTATTTGGTCTGCTCGTTTATCGGGTCTTCTTGTCTCTTTCACCCCGTTTGCGTGCCCTTAAACTCAGCTTGATCCGTTTATTTTTTTTTATCCAGAACAGTGTTTTTCTCTCATAAATTCTTCCAGCATTCATCCAAACCATCTAAATTCCTCCAGAATTCAGACAAACGAACAAACCCTTTGTTTATGCTACTACTATAGTTCGTGATATAGTACAGTGTGAAACCAGTACTGGCCCATTGAAAGATCACTGCTATGCTTTGGGGCTTTTAGGCTGTCCAAATTATACTCCAAAGGCCCAAGGTTGCTAATGTCACTTACATCAGCTGGAATTATGGGCCAGAAACATCTGCCCTACAAAGGAATTAATGGAAAAAGTTCACAGGATATCCCTCAACTTTTGCGGAAGTCTAATTTTTCTCTTGAACTCTAAAACCGAATAAACCACCTCCCTAAACTTTTAAAACTGTTCGTTTTACCTCCTTGACTTGTTATAAGCGGTTTTCAAAGGCAATTTTGTCTTTTTCTTTTTTATTTATTTTGGCTAAATCTTTAAAAAATCATAGTAAATCATAGAAAAATCATAAAATAAAAAATCCGATTTTGTTGGACTCCAAATGAGTAGATCTATACAATGAACATATAATATGGTATACTTTACTACAAATTTTTTGTTGTAGCTTTAGATTTATTTAAGTATATGCTTGTTAAAAAGTATTTATAAACCTATAACTAAGTTATACATGATCAAATGAGTATAAAATTTTTACTACAGTTCAAGCATACAATAACTAGCCCACCATAAAAATTTCACCATAATTGGACCATGGAAAGTGCAGCTATGAATTAATCACAGAAAAACATAGATCTAAAGTTACAACAAAAAGTTGTACTAAAGCATACCATATTAGATTTTTTTTATTCTTAACACTTTTTGTAAACTAATTTTAAATCTAACATCGTTTTTTTTTTCAAAACTAACACTTTTGGCCGCGCCTATTTCCCTGATGCGGCAAAACGCCTGTGCCGCGCCATGCATAGTGGCGCGGCGAGAGGGGTGACGTGGCGACGACCGGGGGGCTGACCGGTGACGTGGCTGGGTCTGCCGCGCCACCGATCTTGGCGCGGCAGTGACGCGCCCTGATCGGTGACGCGACAGAGCCAGCTAAAGGCCCGCGGACCAGTCCCGCCTTCCTACCGCGCCCACCACGCCTAGCCGCCGCGCCTTCGCGCCCGCCGCGCCTGCCCATCACCGGCCGCGGCCGCACGCCGCCCGCCGCGTCGGGCGCTGCTACTCCCGCCGCGCCCGCTGCCACGGCCACCGTGCAAGGGTTCAACAACACAAACGCCGCCGCACCACGGCCGCCGGCCGCCCGCCACGCCCGCACGGCGGCCGCGCCACGGACGCCCACTGCGCCTGCCACCACCCTCACTGCCACGCCGCCGCCCTCACTGTAGCGCCCGCGACTGCTGTCGCCGCCCTCACTGCCACGTTGTACACTGCTCCCAACTGCCGCACGCCCTTCTCTCTCTCCCGTGTCCACCCGCTGCCGCCGCCATGGCCAGCGCCCACGCCTCCCGGCCCGGTCTAACGCGCCGCCGCCGCGAGGACGAGCGCCGCTGCCGCGATGTACTCCCCTAGTGTATTTGTTGATTGAATCGACATTGTTAATATAGTAAGTTAGTAAAATAAATAAAGTTAGTATAATTAGTAAAGTATAGTTAGTAAAGTTAGTTAGTTTAGTTAGTATAGTCAATATAGTAAGTTAGTATAGATAGTAAAGCTACTTAGTTTAGTTAGTACAGTTAGTGAGTCTAGTTATACATTAGTTGTTGTAGTTAGCCTTGTATAGATGTTGATATTAGATTAGTTAGTATAGTTATAGTTAGAATATGTATTAATATTACTATGGACATTACGTACGATGATTTCGATGAATTGATGAAGTTTCTTGAAATGCTTTTGTAGATGGATTGTTGTGTTAGAGTTTTTTTACAGAAGAAGTGTTAGGAGAGAAGATGGTATGTTTGAGGATATGGAAGAAGAATTGGAATGGTTTGATGAACCTCCTAGCTTCAACAACCTTTGTGTCTGTTTGAATACAAAGTTTGGCGATGATTTCACACTGAAGGGGAGGTTTGATACTGGAAAGACTAGGGCACACTATGTCCTCATGCCCTTGCATGACCCTGCTCACTGGTCCCGCTACACTAGGGTGCTCTAAGGTTCCAATGTGCCTATGGCTGAGGTGGTGGTGGAGAATGGGTACAGGATGCAGGGTATCTAGGACGGGCCGTCCATTGACGGTGTTGGAGGTAATGAGCAAGAATTGGGGGTCGAAGGGGAAGCAGCTCAGGGTAACATGAATTTGGACGGTCAGTTGACGCAGGAGCAGTTTCATTCAAGTCAAGTAGGTTGTATAAGCAATGATTTCGATGTGAATGAGTTCGAACTAGAAGAGGAGGAGGAGGACATGATCGGTGATGTAGTTAGCAGTGATTTGGACGATTCAGATGGTGACCAGAGAGATAGACATGCTATGCCCACACCGGTTGATGCCATGCTAGTACCTGTTCGTGGTATGCTATTACCAGTACCAACTGAGGTTTTGCATGCTATCCAGGCTCAGGGTAGACTAGTCATAATTTGCCAGCAGATGATACCCCCTATGATTCATGGGGTAGAATTAGCGAAGCGCAACAGTATGTTCCACTACCACCTTACACAACGACTGAGCTTGAGCAACTAAGGTCGATGAACATACCTTTCTGGGACGTTCCGAACCATAGGGATGCCAGCATGATGGATATGGCAGTTTGTGACACCGGTCTCTAGATATGTAGGAAATCATTATATGACCATGAGAAAGAAACTCTTAGGAAGGGGATGATATTCAATACAATGTCAGATATAAAGCTCTTCCTTCAGGACTATGCTGTCTATCACCATAGGCCGTACAACGTCACTCATTTGGACCAAGAGTTGAGGTACCACGTGATATGCAAAAATGGTTGTATGTAGAGGTTAAATGCATGAAAGAGACAGAGTGATGGCAAGTGGAGGATAAGTAAAGTTGTCGAACCCCACACTTGCCTAACAAATAGGAGGAAGAAAAATCATCAGCAGCTCACTGCACGTTACCTTGCTTGTCGTATATTGGGGCTCATTGACGACAATAACGATATTTTAGTGTCTTCTTTACAATAGTCCATATATGGATTCATTAAGTATGATGTGAAGTACGAAAAGGCTTAGCGTGCTAAGCAAATTGCCCTAGCGATTCGTTGGGGTAGTTGGGAGGAAGCGTACAACAAGGTGCCCGCATCTTATGTGCAATGCATTACTACAACCCTGGCTTGAAATGGTTTGTGGATACCGGAGGGATGTGTTTTCGGGACCCGTTGAGGCATGTCCTCTATCGTGTGTTCTAGTCATTCACGCAAACGGAACATGCATTCTAGTTTTGTCGGGCAGTCGTACTTGTTGATGGCACTTTCCTGACAGGAAAGTATAGGGGCACCTTGATGATGGCTGTTGCTGTTGATCCTGAGGACCAGATAGTACCCATGGCATTTGCTTTGGCAGAGGGAGAGAACAATGAATCGTGGTCATGATTCATGCGGCTTCTATGTGCACATGTGCTTGGCCCATCTCGCACTATATGTTTGATCTCAGACCGTCACCCAGGGCTTCTTAATGCTGCAACTGAGCATATAGATGGGTTCCCGCCTCAAGTGCATAGATGGTGCATGAGATACTTTGTCGCTAATTTCTGGCAGCGTCAGAGGAAGCAGGAGGTATGTGACAAGGTAAGGGCTCTATGTTGTTGTCAACACAGAATTTCGTCCCATGCCAAGGACACACGAGCAAGCCAGAAGGGTCTACTCGATGGAGCTGGAGATCCACCTAGCTTCAGTGCAGGGATGGTCGATCCTGCGCACTCCTCCCAAGACGTACCAGTCAATTTGACCCTGCAATTGATAAGGAGAGAAAGTTTATCAGTAATTAAAGGCGGAACATGCCGGTGTTGCCTGACAGTCCCGAATGTGCGGCTCTAAGAGCCGATATGAAAGGAGATCGACTAAATAGTCGATTCCAGCATATTCATAAGAATAAATCGGTTAAAGTTCATGAGGTTGTGTAAGAAGAATTGGTTATCGTTCTGAATGAATATCATTCTTTAAATAAATGTTGGTCAATGGTAATAAGATATTAACAATAATTAGTTCATGCTGAGCCAATGACTGCAAGTAACCGAACTCCTTTATAAAAGAAACGGTTCATCATCATTCAACCATTTAATAGAGATAAATCTAATGAACATATTATATCTCATCTATCGCTATAACCAGTGGGTCATGAGGCAGAATCATGCAGGCCGTAGAAACAATAATAGACTCGACGACCCTAACTTATTACTAATATCAGTGGGGCATGAGGCAGAATCATGCAGGCCATAATACAATAATAAGATCATGGGGCTAACACATCTTTCAAACTATCGCTACTTCAACGATCTCGTGATGCGAACTGTTCGTCAAAGCGCTCGATATCGGCTAAAACAGCCGATTCAGGCATAGCGCACAGTTAAGGTCATGTCCTCTTAGGAACAGATCTACCAAATAACGATTCCCACTCCACGGTGCTAACAGTGGGGTGTGAGACAGAATCACATAGGCCGTGATAATGGGCCATGGAATACTTTTCGCTATCCAACAGATCTATTCAAGATCAAACATGCCTTAACCGCACGTTATGCATGATCAAGATTGATGTAAAACAACCGATAAAACATAACTCATCATTTAAAGTGCAGATTAGA